CCGAGCAGGCAAAGGGCTCTGTGCTGGTCCAAACCCCAGTTTATATCCATGTGAGAATGCTTGGCTCCCCCCCTTGGGGTGAAGCATCTCACAACCAGACGATGTAATTCTATGGGTCATGTCTAGGTCCCTGACAGCCCATTAAACAGAGAGGGAGCCATCAGGGAGGAGGAGATAACTGTCTAGTCAGATGATAATGTGAGTTAAAACAATATGCGCTGGGGTAGAGTTAACTTTCTTCAGAGTGGCTAATATGGGGCTGTGTTTTGGATTTGTGCTGAACACAGTGTTGATAATGCAGAGATGTTTTTGTTGTGAGCTCAGCAGAGCTCACACAGAGTCAAGGCCTTTTCTGCTTTCCATACTGCCATGCTGGCAAGGAAGTTGAGGGTGCATGGGAGATTGGGACACAGCTGGGACAGGTGGCCCAAACTGACCAAAGGAATATTCCATACCACATGACATCATGCTCAGTATATAAAAGAAGAAGGAGGAAGAGAGGGGCATTGGGAGGGATTGTGTTTGTCTTCCCAAGCCACGGTTACTTGTGCTGGGCCCCTGCTCTCTTGGAGATGGCTGAACACCTCCTGCCTGTGGGAAGTGGTGAATTAATTCCTCAGTTTGCTTTGCTTGTGTGCGTGCCTTTTGCTTTCCTATTAAACTGTCTTTATCTCAACTCATGAGTTTTCTAGCTTTTACCCTTGTGATTCTCTCCCCCATCCTGCTGTTGGGGGGTGAGTGAGTGGCCCCGTCCTGCTGTTGGAGGGTGAGTGAGTGGCTGTGTGGGGCTTGGCTGCTGGCTGGGGTTAAACCACGACACCATACAGCTCTGAAGTATTTGTGTGCCTTTGCATTTGTGAGTTGTGGCTCCTTGAGGATCTTGCCTGAGTAATAGTGCGAACTTGGTGATATTAACAAACTCTCCAGTTTTTCTTGTCCTTTATGGCTAGTCATTTTGATCTTAGAAGGCCAGGTTTCCCATGAAAAATGGATGTGAATGCAAGGAATGGGGAAAAAAAAGTCAGAGGACAAACCGCTGTATTGGCAAGATTGCTCCTTCTTCTTTAGGTTCTGGGGCATTCCAAGGCAACAAATGGTATATTCTGATAATCTAAAACTTGTGGATATGCATATGGCTTGAATGAAATACAAATCTGCTTCCTCTGTGAATGAATGGTTCAGTAGATTTGTTTTGTTTGCAGAGTTTATACCTGCCATCTCTTTTGGCCTCTAGTACTGCTCACTGCAGATGAGTTCCTGTGTCTGCACAAGTTACCTGTGCCTATAGTGTATTCTTAAATTGAAAGTGACTGTGTACTGATAATGCAGGCGTGCATTGTTATGACTATCTGGAGAGGAGCTGTGGGAGTGCTAGCAGTTAGGGAAGATGTTTTGGGCAGACATTGCTGATAAAAATGAAGATGGTATTTGTCTCCATTTGGAGTCTGCACAAGTACAGGGAGCAGAAAAATTCTTCCAGACTTGAGCTATGTAGTCCATGGTACAAATTTGTGATTCTGAAAGCTGAAATGAGCAATCTGTTGAAGCAAATATTCTGTAAAGAAATAATCAGTCTGACCTCAAAGGTTAGTAAGTTGGCTTTGTTGTGTTTATAGGAACTGTCTGGATGAGGAATTAATATTGTGTGATGGGTAAATACAGAAACATGAAGGAGCAGGGGAATCATGTGGATCAGTATTGCATTGCAGCTGGTTCATGGCTGTGATCACTCTTTTTTCTCTCTAGCATTAATTTGCCTTTTATATTGTAAACTTAAGATATCTTACTTGAACATCTTACTGTTTTAATTCCTAGATGGGAATGATGAGTAATCCCAACCCTTATGGCCAGCCATACAGTCAAAATACTGGGCAGCAAATTGGAGCCAGTGGACTTGGTCCTCAGATGCAGAATAAAGCTGGACTGCAAAATAGCTTACCAC